CTTGAGGGCTCCGCGAAACTGTGGGTCTGGCGGCCCGCGGTAGAGGCGATCGTGGCGCGCTGGCCAGAGACGGAGTAGTGTTCCCAGAACTGCCGGAGGAGTCGGCCTAAAGGGCGGACAGACAGACGGCAGGGAGGACCAGCATGCACCTACTGTTGCACCCCGCCTGGCCGCTGCTCCTGGGCGCCACGCTGACCTTCCGGGCACTCCGGCGCGCGCTCTGTCGCCTGCCCCTGCCTGCTCACGTGCGCACCGACCCCCTGCGTACCTGGCGTTGGCACAACCTCCTCGTCTCCTTCACCCACTCCATTGTATCAGGGATCTGGGCACTACTGTGGTGAGTGAACAACCCGGGGCAGTGAGATGGCCGTGGGATCTTTCGCGGGGTGCTCGGACTATTCTCCCTGTTGCTATTCCCATCACTCACGGGTGAACAGACGCCAAGGAGCTCACCTGATTCCCTGTTTGGAAAACTACCCAACCAAGAACGGCTGTGGGAAACCCGAGGTACCTGGGCTTCGGCCAAGCCCCTCCTCACTCTCCAATCAGCCAATAGTGGGCGCCCAGAGTGCCCTGGGACTGGCAAGTGTTGGGGGAGGCGAGGGTCCTCCGGGAGGCTGCAACCGCGAGAACATCCCTTTCCTCCATTTCAGCCTATGGCAAACCCCTGAAATGCTGGTGGAGATGGAGACGTCGTGGTCACTTTCTGGCTATTTGCTTGTTTGCTTCTCTGCAGGTAGGTTATGCCCAAAGAGGCTGGGAGTAAGAGGCTGGAAGGCAGCTAAGCGTATTCAGTCTGTTCTTCTTTCCCTACTAGGATACTTCATCCACGACACGGTGGACATTGTGGTTAGTAAACAGACTCGAGCTTCTTGGGAATACCTTGTTCATCATGTCATGGTGAGAAGCCAGTGGTGTGATGCAGATGTGGTCACTACCCTTTGAGCCAGGGAGGGAGGCCATCTTATTAACCCCAGGAGTGTCAGACTTCTAGGTTGCCTAGGAGTCTCAATGTTGCTGCTCTCCCAGGGTCAGAGAGCCTGGGTCACCTACTATCTAAGTAAACCGACTAGGAATGTCCTACAGAGCTAGACCCCACTGGGCAAAGTCTAATCCCAGTGGATGAAAACAAGTCAGCTGTTGGATGGTTTCCTGTGCCCTGGAACGGTATGGCACCTTTTTCAGTGTTCCTAAAACAGCCCTTGTTACTTGCCCCCTAGGCTATGGGTGCCTTCTTCTCTGGTATCTTTTGGAAAAGCTTTGTTGGTGGTGGCGTCTTGACGCTCCTGGTGGAAGTCAGCAACATCTTCCTCACCCTAAGGATGATGATGAAGATAAACAACGCCCAGGACCATCTCCTCTACCGGGTCAACAAGTATGTCAACTTGGTCATGTACTTTTTCTTCCGCCTGGCCCCTCAGGTCTACCTCACCAAGTTCTTCCTGCAGTATGCTGGTCAGAGGAACCTGGGAACGTTTCTGTTGGTCATTCTGCTCATGCTGGACTTGATGATTCTCATTTACTTTTCCCGCCTTCTCCGCTCCGATTTCTGCCCTCAACGTGCTCCCAGCCGCCAACACAAAGACAAATTCTTGACTGAGTGAGAAAGGATAACCCAGGACACGTAGCAGGGACAGCAAGCACGGCCAGCCAACAGCCTTGTAACATAAACTAGGACTCTGCCTCAAGCCTGGGTGTATTCTGGGCCAGCCTTCTCACCTCACGCCTACACCCACACTATTGAAAACACTAATGAAAGCTCTTCTCTGAAGTCCTTCTTGGGCAAGGGTTGAGGGAAGCAGACCAACCGGTTGGGCAAAGCAGAATGGGTGAGGACAAGACACTGTCCAAAAGCCAGCCAACCCACACCACCCCGAAATGGATGCTGACGACTCTAAAATAACCCCTCTGCTCTTCCAAACTCTGGTATTGGTTTCACAACAGCCTCTTCCAGGGATAAAAGAAGGAACTCTTGTAAAGCTTGTGCTCTGAACCTCTGATGGAGGCATGTCCCAGGACAACTAACACTTGTCTGGAGTAATAAATACTTCTGGTACTTGAGCCTGGGAGCCTTAACAGTGGCATCATGGTATGTTCCAATGGAGTAAATAGATTGAGAACAATTTTTTTTTTGCTCAGAGCTGGGGGCTTCCCCAGGACCCACTATATATAAGCACCATTACCTTAGTGCATACACAGTATGACAATGTCACCAGCCCAATTAGAAATTGAAAAAAAGACAAGCAGCATTATTTATGGTGAAAAAGTATATTTAGAATTAGCCAGCTGGACTCAGTTTAGATGATCCCAATCTGAAAAACAAACAAACAAAAAAAAGGTATGTTTGTGGAGCTGTAATGTTTAGGTTAGGTGACCTGGGATGGCAAGATGGGGAGGGTGAGGCTTGCTAGGAGAAAAGGCAGGATTGAGTGTAGATACAGCATCTACACAGGAGAATGGACTGTGGATAAGATGCTTACTTTGTTGGCAACATCCAGAGCATCATAGTCAGGAGCCAACCGAACATATGCCTTCTTCTCTCCATCAGGCCTGAGTGGAGAAGGAAGCCTCAGTTGGATGCTCTCACAGACCCCAGCCCTCCCACATCCCGCCGCCACCCCTCTGCTGCATCAGTGGTTCCTTTGCTGGTGTCATTCTTTTCCAAACATTGAGTTTTCCATCATTTGCGCAGAGGGTTCTAAGAGTCACCATGAAAGGCAGGACAGTTTAGTGAACCCACACAGGCTTTCTGCCGGGGACCACTCACCTTATGAGAGTGTTAACTTTGGCCACATCAATGTCATAGAGTTTCTTCACAGCCTGCTTGATCTGGTGCTTGTTGGCCTTGACATCCACAATGAACACAAGTGTGTTGTTGTCTTCTATCTTCTTCATGGCTGACTCAGTGGTCAGGGGGAATTTGATGATGGCATAGTGGTCAAGCCTAGCATGGATGGGAAGAACAAAATGGAGTAACCTGCCCTGGGCCCGGGGTTCAAGAGGAGCTACACTTTGGGACCCAAATCTAGGAGAGTAGGTGCATCAGACAATAATAGCAATCATTTCTATCAGACTTTGGTCGCTAAACAATGTCATCACATGCACCTGAACCCTCCTAAGGGTAGACTCCGCATTAGAGCCAAAACTTGCCTGTTCTCTATACTTTACGGGTCCTCACCCTTTGAAGAAACTAGAAAATCATGCTTAATTCATGCACATTCACCCACTGGTGTTCCATGTTAGCTCTTTACTAGGACAGATTCCGCACCCCCCCCCCAAAAAAAAAGACAAGAGAAACTTGTGTTAAAAGGTTGGCTATGCTCTACAGACTAATTTTTGAGATGGGGCCTTACAATGTAGACAAGCTATATTCAAACCCAAGAGCCACCAAGTTCACACACACCCCTCATGGTCTGAGACAGGGTCCCATAGATCACATGCCTTTAACTTCAGATACTCTGGCCTCAACCTCCAAGCATTACTGGTTGACCATCACACAGGACCTATGTAGTGCCGGAGACTGAATCCAGGAATTCAACAGCTTTACCTAATGAACTACATCCCCAGCCCAAAAGTCAACAGCTAGTCTAAGCCTCAGGATAACCTGAAAAGTCAGGAGACTTTTCCTTGAAATTCTGAGGAGTCAAGCTTTTCTCATCCAACTACTTTAAGGGTTTTTTTTTCTTTTCGGAGACAGGGTAGTTTTGGTGCCTGTCCTAGATTTCGCGCTGTAGACCAGGCTAGCCTCGAACTCAAGAGATCCACCTGTCTCTGCCTCCTGAGTGCTGGGATTAAAGGCGTGTGCCACCACACCTGGCCAACTTTGGTTTTGAAGATAGGTCAGGACTCATATCGGACAAAATTCTAGGTCCAAACAGGAAAATGAGGTGACTCTGAAGAACTTCCCCCACATACACAACCCTATGTGTTCTTCAGTAAACACGTTTTATCTTTTTCTCCAAACTTCCTTTGAACAGTGCTAAAATGTGATAGTTAATTGAAAGTTTATCTCTACACAAGATTAATTAGGTCATCACTGCCCATTGCAGATAAATTAACCAACCCACTCCCCTCATTCTCAAGAAATGCCATGACACTTGGAACCCTAAGCAGCATCTCCTTGAAGTAGACTTTCAAATATTGATCACGTTAATAATTAACATACAAAGATCTCACGCTTCCACCAGAACAGCACATTGATAAGGTAAGCTACCGAGTGGGTAGTAAACTACCAACCCTAGTGCCCTAGGGCATACCAGTAGGTTTGGGGTCGGTACTGACTTGTTTCTCCTGGGCGCGCTCTTTCGAGGATATTTAGGCTGCCTCCTGAGCCGCAGGGTCTTGGGCCGCCGGAACGTGGGTGACGTGCGGATCTTCTTCTTTTTGTGGCTGTGGACGCCTTTCAGCACCGCCTTCTTGGCTTTCAAGGCCTTCGCTTTGGCTTCGGCTTTGGGAGGGGCAGGAGCTGCGAGAGAAGGAAATGTTAGAGTGTAGCGTTCATAAATCGATCCCTTCCGGCGGCCCTGTCAACACGCGCATCAGTGGTTCCTTTGAAGACATCACAGGTCTCAGGAGACTTTAAGTTTTTTCCATCATATGCACGATACTGGCAAGCGAAGATAATGAACCCCGGAATAACGGGGGGGGGGGGGAAGGGGGCATCCTTTATAGGTCTGGAGACACGGAGCGCCACCCTGTGGATGTTAAGTAGCTCCCCAAAGCCAACCGCTCGGTGATCAGTGGCAAGGGATGCCGGCTGGGTCGCCTCTCCGACTCCCTCCACTGGAAGCAGCCCATGCGGCTGGGCGCACGCGGTGCTCACACACCGCAGCGGGGCGGCTAATCGCGACAGTAGCTCCAGAACAAGTCCAACATGGCTTAGCCCAGCGGACATCTTCCCCGTGAGTCCGCCGTGCCGATCTCCCGGGCCAACCCGCCACAGCCCCATGCAGCAACACACCTTCCTTCTTCGCTTTCGGCGCCATCTTGGCGAAAAGGATTGCTTATTCTCGTTCCCATGAGCTTATAGGATGAAGTCTCATCAAAGCCTCGCGATAGTTTATGCATAGCGCTGATTGGGTGATCCGTAATGTACCGCTTCCTGGGAACTGCAGTCCCATTTAATTTCCCAGCGTGAGATCAAGCATGCGTCACTCGTCCCTTCGAAAGGCCTCAAGGCTTCATGGGAGTTGTAGTTTTTTTTTTCACCCGGACGCAAGGTTTTTCTTGGGATTAGTAGTTTTTGAAAGATCCAAGTTTATTTCTCTAGGCTTAAGTCTGTGGGTGGATATAGCACCTGCTGGTTGAGTCTGGTCCTTGCCACTTCATTGAGCAATTTCCAGCCTTAGGGAAGAAATTTGCCGTGTTAGAAGCCAGTAACACTACCAACTGGGAAAAATACAATTTGGGAAATTGGAAAGAAGCTTAAGATCATGTACTTCGCCAGGCGGTGGTGGTGCCCGCCTTTAATCCCAGCACTCAGGAGGCCCAGGCCAGCCTGGGCTACAGAGTGAGTTCCAGGAAAGGCTCGAAAGCTACACAGAGAAACCCTGTCTCAAAAAAAATAAAAAATAAAAAAATAAAAAAGATCATGTACTTCTCTTTCAGACGACCTGAGTTGGATTCCTAGTAGCTACACTTCTGTGGACACATACCCACACATAGACAGTATTAAAAAGAATTTTAAAGCTGATTGTGGACTCTACATGCCTTTAGTTCCAGCAGTTCAAGCCTGGCCTAGTCTACATAGCAAGATCCAGGACAGCCAACGCTACATAGAAAGACCCTGTCTCAAAAAAAGGAAAGAAAACAACAACTAAATATAATTTGTAGCTTGGTGTGGTGGCAAACACCTTTAATCTAGCACCAGGAGGTAGAGACAGGCAGATCTCTGTAAATTCAGGATCAGCCTGGTCTACATAGCAATTTACAATCTAGCCAGGCATATGTAGTGAAACTGTATCTCAAAAAAATAGATAGACAGACAGACAAATAGATTGAAGCCCTTCTAGGCACATCCATAATGCCAGCACTCTTGAGACAAAAGGTGGACACAAAGTCAAGGCTAGCCTGTTCTACATAGTAAGTTCCAGACCAGCCAGTGCTACATGAAGCGAGACTATCACTACAAATAAACAAAGTACACATAGAATGCAATGGGACACAGGTAGAGGAGAAGCAAAGCTGTGTGATGTTAGAACAGGACTTTCTCTAACTTCTCCATATGGCATCTGTGGAAAATTGAGGGTCCAGACAGATGTGATTTAGTTATTACCACACTGGTTGGGTGGCAGAGAAAAAACGGAGCATGAGATGGAAGAGAGTTCCAGAAGAGCTACAAAACAGACACAACACACACACACACACACACACACACACACACACACACACACACAATTTTCCAAATATTTTTAGTGTAATTTTTAAAGATTTTATTTATGTCAGGCAGTGGTGGTGCATGCCATTAATCCAGCACTTGGGAGGCAGAGATAGGTGGGTCTCTGTGAGTTCTATAACAGCCAGGACTGCACAGAGAAACCCTGTTTAGAAAACTCAAAAACAAATAGTTTTTTGAGGGGAGGGGATGGTTCTTGATTCAGGGTTTTTCTGTGTAGCTTTGACTGTCCTGGAACTTACCTTGGACTCACAGAGATCTGCCTGCCTCTGCCTCCTGAGAGCTGAGATTAAGGGCATGTGCCACCACCACCTGGCCCTAAGGTTTTATTTACTTACGTGTGTCTGTCTGCATTTGTGTGCCTGTGTGTAGGTGCCCAGAAAAGCAGAAGGTTTCAGATATCCTGGACATGGAGTTATTGGTGGTTGTGAACTACTATATGTGGGTGCTGGGAACTGAACTCAGGTCCTCTATAAGAACAGCATGTATATCTGGGCAGTGGTGGTGGAAACTATCGATCCCAGCACTTGGAGGCAGGGACAGGAGGATGTCTGAGTTCAAGGCCAGCCTGAGCTACAGAGAGAAACCCTGTCTCAAAACAACAACAACAACAAAAAAAAAAACAATCAGCTTGCACTATTAATTGCTGAATCATTCTATAGTACTT